TTCTTTTTTTCTTTTTTGGTGGAACCGGGGATTGAATTCAGGTCCTTACGCTTGCCAGGCAAGCACTTAATCTACTGAGCCATCTCCCCAGCCCCAATGTGGATCAATGAGGCTACTTAAATTTGTTTACAGAAGTATACTTTGTCATTTAAAAAATTCATGAAGGTAAAAAATTTTGGTATGTACACCTCCAGAACTTTAAAAGGCATTTATATCGATATAAATTTATCTGTAAAATTAGGGTTTTTAGTTTCCTTAAACATAAATGAATACTGTAATATTATTACTGCTGTGCAGTTTTTTTTCAACTGAAAATTAAAGAATCTTAGCTGAGTATGATGGTGTATACTTGTAAGCCCAACACTTTGAGAGGCTAGAGTAGGAGGATCACAAGTTCAAGTCTTGCCTCCATAACTTAGCACAAGTCTGTCTCAAAAATTAAAAAAAGAGCCAGGGGTTCAATACCCAGGCCTGCTGTGCTGGCCCGGCCCCCGGGGTGTGCTGAGACTGAGACAGCAATTGAGACAGGGGCGGCAATTGAGGCTGGGAGAGTCTGACCTAGTAGTGAGACCCTGAACACCCTTGTAGACCCTTCCCTAAAAAAAAAAAAAAAAAAAGTAAAATTAAAAAAAAAAAAAAGGCAGGGAAAAGGGGATATAGCTCAGTGGTAAAGCAACCTTGGGATTTAAAGTTATCAAAAAGTACCAAAAAAATCAAAAGGAAACTTACTGTGTATATATGTGCATACAGATGTCATTCACCTTTCTTAATTGGTATATAGCTTATTTAGCAATTCCTTGTTATTGGGGATTTAGGGTATTTCCAAATTTTGTTGTTTTTTGTTTGTTTTTTTGATCTGTAGAATTTATTACAGAATATCGTGTTGGGAAACAAAAGCAGACCACCTTAATGTGTCAAATTTGTGAACTTGTTAAATAAAATTTTTGATCCAAGCCACACAAAAAAGAACAAAATCTACTCTGAAAATCAAGGCAATCACAAAGTGATTACTTGGTGACTCTCTATCTTGCCTCATAGATTGTTTGTTTTTTTGAAAGTCCTCCTGCTTTAGCCTCCTGAGTACTGGGATTATAGTTGTGTGCCACACCTGTTCTGTTTCCAAGTTTTTGTTAAAATGTTATAATGAACATCTTTGAGTATGTTATATTATGCACAAACGCGATGACTCCTTCTCCAAAATAGATAGTAAGAAGTGGAACTCTAGTCAAAAATATATAAATTTAGAAGTGTAGGACATATAACTAAATTAGCCTTTGCCAGTTCTATAGTATAAGTGCATTCTTTCAATATTGAGGCCCCAGTTTCGGGACTGATAAATTTAAAGTGATGTTCCTAAAATGTGTACCTATACTGTCAGTAACAAAATACTTTTATTTTTATTGGTTTTAATAATTATTTGTATCAAAAATAGGAATTATCTATTTTTAAAAAAACAATCACTGGCCGGGGAGATGGCTCAATGGAATAAGCGCTTCCCTGGCAAGTGCAAGGGCCTTAGTTCAATCCCCGGTTCCGCCAAAAAAAAAAAACCAATTACCATACCAGGTCAAGGATTTAAGGATGTTATTTATAGTGACATACATACATAGTAACATAACAAACATACATTTTAAAGGACATTTATTTTACTAGGCCTGGTGGCAAACGCCTGTAATTCCAGCACTGAGGAAGGCTGAGGCAGATCACAAGTTTGAGTCCCATAAGGGCAATTTAGCAAGACCCAGTCCCAAAATAAAAAATATAAAAACGCAGAGAATGTGGTTCAGTGGTAGGGTGCCCTGGTTTTAATCTCCATTAAAAGAAAAAGAAAAAATATATATATTAAGTATTAAGTTGAAGTTAACTGATATATTAAATATAGTATACACTCAATGTAATATGCGATATGACAAATCATATTATATATGAAGGGCTGAATTTTCTTTCTCTGTGAATTTAGGAAGGGATTAGGATCTGGGAATATGGCTCAGCACAGCAGTACCTGTTTAGGACATACAAGACCCTAAACTCAATCCCAGCACTAAGGGAAACAAAAAGGCAGGTGTTGCAGTACACTTTTATAATCCCAGCACTTGGGAGGTTGAAGCAGGAAGATAACTTCGAGGCAGCTGGGCTACATAATGAGCTCAAAGGCGGCCTAAACTAGTGAGACCCAATCTTGAAAAGAAACAAGCAAGCAGACAGATTCATCACCATTCATAAAAAGATATTGAAAATGTTTTATGGTTATAAAAGTGTACATAGGGCCAGGGAGATGGCTCAGTAGAATAAGCACTTCCCTGGCAAGCATAAGGGCCTGAGTTCAATCCCCGGTTCTGCAAAAAAAAAAAAAAGTGTACATACACTGAAAAAAACTTCAATTTGTACAGTAAGTACAAAAACTCACATTCTTATTATTTAAGATCCACAGATATTCTCCTACAGAGAACCATCACACTTGCACAAAGGACATGTTTAACATTATGAACATTGGGAAGCATATGTACATATAGATTTTTAATGATATTTATATATGATATATGATATATAAAAATATGCAAGATATAGCCAGGGATGGTGGTAATACCAGTAATCCAGTACTCTGAAAGGCTGAGGCTGAAGAATCCCAAGTTTGAGCCCAAACTTTAGTGAGATCTACTTCAAAATAGAGTATTTTTAGCTGGGCATGGGGAGGCATGCCTGTAATCCCAACACTTGGGAGGCTGGATTAGTGGATCACTGCAAATTCAAGGCCAGCCTGAACTACATAGAGACACCCTGTCTCAAAAAAACCAAAACAAAACAAATTTAAAAATGCTGAGGGCCAGACCTGGTGCCATACACCTATAATCCCAGCACTTGGGAGGCTAGGGCCAAAGGACTACCATGAGTTAGAGGCCAGCCTGGGTTACATAGTGAGTTTAAGTTTAGTCTGAACTATATGGCAAGACTCTTATCTCACAGTAAAACAAACAACAAAGAAAAACACATAAAAAAGGCTGAGAATGTGAAGGTCCTGGGTTCAATCCCCAGCAATAGTAAATCAGTCAATCAATCTCAGAATAAAAGACAAACTTCCAGGGAACAGTAAGCAGCAACCTTAATTAGCCATTTTGGAATTACCTATCATTGCTAAAATTTAAAAATAAGGTATAGAATATTCTGAGCATTCATATGCTATTCATTATTATCACCAATTTACATATGTTAAAAGACAATTAGGAAATCTCTTTACTACCTCCTTGGATAGAAAATCAGATTGCAAAATTGTTTTGATTCTTCAATCTACACGCTGCATGTCTGTGTGCTCTTTCACTCCTTCTCACTGGTTCACTACAACAGGGTTATAAATTGTGTCACAGACTCCAGGGACCAGGGGCAAGAAAGGCTTTGTAACTGTCTATGACCCAGAATGGTGAGAAACTTGGTTTAAGTAAATTTATTGATTTTGTTTTTTAAAAAAATAGTATTATTACCCTGGGATCCCTTCAATATTCTTTTCTAGTTTTTTTTTTTTTTTTTTAGGAGTGGGTCCACCTCATTTTTGGCTTCCATTTGATAACTGCATATCTCAATTCCTTGTTCTCACTTTAATAGTCTTCTAATTAAAAACAAGGGGGGCTGGGGACATGGCTCAGCACTTCCCTGGCAAGCGCAAGGGCCTGGGTTCAATTCCCAGTTCCGCAAAAAAAAAAAAAAAAAAAAAAAAGAAATACTTTCCTTTACCAGTTAATCATAAGGAATTTCACAGGTGTTTCATTTTATTTTGCTTTGATTTCCAAACTACAGAAAGATGGAAAAGGCAGAAAGTGATTCCCACACAGAAACTGACAGGCTGAAGACAAGCAGCTAGAAACAGCAAGACACATGGGCACAGATAAAAGGCTTAAGGACATACAGAATAGACAGGCAAAAGAAATACAGAGAAACCTAGAAACACAAGGACCAAGTAAACACAGAGAAAACAGGCTGCCGGGGAGCAAAAGGATGACTGACAGAGAAGCAGCAAGATCATCAAGAGAAATGCAGATTTGCAAACAGAAAGCGAAAGAGAAAAATAGAAGGTAGACAAATGAAGAAAACAAGGTGAAAAGGAAGACAAAGTGAGAATACTGTTTCATATGACAGTGCCTTATAATTTACAAGGTGCTATCACATAATTATTGCAGGCAGACAGGGAAAATCCCACAGACAAATGGGGTGATAGAGGAATACAGGCCAATCAGAGGAAAGAGAGGGAAGGTAGCCAATCAGAAAGAGGCTAGAATGGAGACCTAGACAGACAGCTAAGAAAAAAATACAGAATCAAAGAAAGAGAAGGTGTATGTGTGTGGGTATAGAAATAGAGACTGAATGGGGCTGGTGAGATGGCTCAGTGGTCTAAAGCACCTACTTAGAACAAGCTAAGCTAAGCAGAACACAGGGACCGCGGTTCAATCCCCAGCACCACATGCCAGCCAGG